TCTTGCTGTTCTTTGTTGGTAACCTTTGCTGCAAGCCTGTTTATCGTCATTTATGATGTTCATCTTAACTTTTTTATTTTTTTAATCATCGGCATGAGTTAAAATGTAAGCTACTTTGTTTGTTATCATAATTTTCTTGAACAATGAGATTATCCTTTTTCTAGCTTCAGCTACTGAGTATTTCAGCATAGCTTTTTATGATGGGTATGCACTGAAGTTATGGCCAAATAGCTAAGGCTGAAATGGCAGTCTGACACCTGATTTAGATGTTTCAAATCTTAGAGAAGCATTTACAGACCAAGAGATTTACATGAAAATGAAACAAATCGGATCATATGTACCTGTATTTTTAGGTTATGACTTCTATATTTTGGAGTGCACCGTGTATGACCATCTCTGTTACTTGTAGCTATAATTTTTTGCTGTTGGGTTTGAATTGTTAATGATTTTCGGCTTTTCACTTTGAATATTTTTCTTGTTTTTGTTAAGATTTCTACACAACCAAGGAATACCCACCATATTTTCTAAGAAAATGCTAGACAATGGAAATTTGAAATGTCTTTATATGGTTTAAAATCTTAATGGAAAAGTATGGTCTAAGTAGGTTTAAGGTATATTATTAGAACTAGCTTGGTTCTCTAATTATTGAGAATCACTTGGATAGTTTGGAACTCAGATACTGTGGAGAGATATAAGTTACAATGGTGTTGAACTTTGGAAGTGTTTATGATATTTTCACGATGTTCGAGATGTGCCTTACGTGGTAGGAGGGATTTGATTGGTTGATGATTGCTTGTGGAGTAGGATATCGTTTAGATAAATTGTATAGAGTCAAATGAGATATCCATCAATTATAAAATATGCTTATTGGGAGTGATCTTGATTAGCATATATACTTAAGAATGTTTTATGTATGTCAACATGTTAGAAGAACTTGATTAGTGGATGATTGCTTCAGTAGTCGGTGTTTATATTATATTAATGGCAAATAAATTTTCTATTAGTGGACAATAATTAATAAGTTTGTTGAGAACTGATTTTGTATAATGAATTGCATGAACGTTAGGGAATGTATATGTTAGTAAATGAGTCCATCAAGCAGAGTGGTACGTTGACATAACTAAACTTGCTTCTAAGCAATTTTTAGTTAATTATATGAAAGTTTGATTTGTACTCCTCCGCATGTATTTTGGGAGCTTTGAATTTACAAGTGAAGGACAAAGATCTAGAAGTTTGATGTATAGCAATGTTATGGCTCCTATAACTCCTTTTTATTGTGTTGGGAAAATTGTTTGGTTCTTACAGACAACTGCTATATATGTTTGCTTAAAGACGAGATATAAGGTTTTAAGAGAGTTACGATTATATAGAGTTTTCTTTTTTGCCGGAGAAAAAGGGTAGTCCGAGCGGCGAGCATCCATGGAGCATATTTCATTAGACAAAGAGTCATTTAGAAATGTAAATTTAGAAATGTAGATTGAGATCCCTTTATACGAACATAGCAGGAGAGGTATGCACAAAATGACATGATATTACTGCATCAAGAATGCGGTATAATACATGTTGTAATTGTTGATGTTCATCTTTCGTTCAAATAATATTGGTAAAACTGGAAGAATAAAGAACTGCTCTGATAGTGATAAATTAATATGTTTGGGGATGGAGGATCACACTTTTTTGTTGGATTTTAATCCAAAGTCAATGGCTAATAAATGGAATGTTTTTATTGATATTGTGCTTGGCCTCAGAGTTCTGAAGACAAAAATATTTCTTCTTGAGTATTCATTTTCTTCGTTTTTAGACTAGAGCTCCAATCTAGTAGGAGTTTTATTTTCCATGTCTGCACATTCTTCTACTATTTTGGCAACAGATTATTATGTTATGTTGGGAAGAAATAGGGTTTAGGCTGTTAGTTAGTGACACAAATTTTCTATTTAAGATGCTTGTTTCCAATGCGGAATTGTATTTAGACATCCAGGGCATGTTTGTTTCTTTCCCAAAATATAGGAAACCAATTCTAGTAGTAAAACACCTATTTCCATCCTTTTTCGTGTGCTTCTAGGAAAAAAAATATTATTTTTTCTGCCATGGAAACACGGGGAGGAAATGTTTTCTATCTCATTCATTTGTTTGGTTCAAAAACCAAAAATAAGAAAACATTTTAGTTGGAAACAATTCTCTCATTATTAAACTAATATATTTTACAAACTCCCCATGTCACCCCATTATTTAATTATTAAAACCTACATTTCCACCAAATTTGTGCCCATTACGTCACATTTTGAGAGGAAATGGTTTCTATCCAACATGTGATATTTTCACCACTTTTAAGTAAAACTTTCTTAAAACTTTTTGGTGAAACAAACGACGGAATAGGAAAGCTGCGGAATTTTTTTTGGACTTTCTGATGGTATCAGGTTACTAAGGGTTTCCACTCGAAACAAACACTCCTAATGTTAAATATATCATTTTAGAATTATTGGGGAAAACATTTCTTAATTTGTTTGGGGGAAAGATAAATGCCTTTGAAGAAACTCTGTTGTCATATGCTCATCTCAGAAAATATATTATATCTAGTAAAAAGATAGATTCACAATGAGAAAATGGTACATGGCGAATTGGTTCATTAACTCTTGGAATTAAAGGTTTAATAAGAAACTTAGGGGTTGTTTGGTTGTATGTTTTTATCATGTAAAAGGATGTAAAGTGTAAAAAAGTGGGTCCTAATATCAGCTTTCATCACTTTACATTATTTGTTTAAATTCTCTTTTACATGAAAAGCTTACACCTTTTGATGAGGTGTCACCGAAAGCAAAATCATCAAAATTAGGGGCTGTTTGGTTGTATGTTTTTACCACGTAAAAGGATAGAAAGTGTAAAAAAGTGGGTCCCAATGTCAGCTTTCATCACTTTCAATTGTTTGTTTGTAGTTGTGAAAATAATGTAAAGTGATTTCATATACTGATGTGGCTTGTAAAGTGATTTCATAAAAAAAGACATGATTTTAGGAGAAAGCTGATATTGAAGTCAGGAAAAAATAATAAAAATAATTCCAACCAATATGATCATTTGAGTAGGGACCACTTTTTATACTTTCCAAACAAACAATTAAAGTTACATTTGCAAACCAAACAAGCAATTTATGATTCCAATGGAATAAAAAACAAACAAAGAAAAGTATAAAAGTAAAATTGATGAGGTTGACAACAACTTTCCAAGTTGTGTCATAAATACACAACTTTACCAACAACAACCAAACAACCCCTTATGAGTAATTTGGTTGGAAAGCTGACACAATGTCATAAATGTGTCCAAAAAAAAAAGTCAAAACTTTGTAGAAAGTGGTGAGGTGGATAACCACTTTTTATTTTGTGTCATAAATACTCTAGTTTACATTATACTATCCAAACAATGTAATACTATTATTTTAGGATTCACTGATATGAGTCGCCGTGCGAGCACCCTTTGGTCGCGGAATTACCAAAAGGTGGGTTGAGAAGAGGATGACCAAAACACAAGAACAATTCAGTATGGCGAAGAAAAATACCTTCTCTGGATTATGAGTATGAAAAGATTACAATCCCTCTCTCACAATCTCACTAGAATTGAGAACAACCTCCCAACTCTCCCTCTAAACCCTAATACAATTATTAGAATTTCACTTTCCCTTAGGTCTGATTGTTTAGAACCCTAAAACACTCCTATTTATAGATGTGCAAACGTGGATGGCAATCTTGTAAATAAACAAGCCCAAAAGAATCAGGAATCCCCGTCAAAACAGAATCCAAAACGAAACAGGAAACCTAGAAATCGCGATCCGGTCGACCGCCAGGCTTGGTCCGGTCGACCGGCCAGAGAGTTTTTTCAAACCCTGCATCGTGCAGGTTTTCCGGTCGACCGACATGTGTGCTGCGGTCGACCGGCCAGAGATCTGCCAGTTACCCTGTTCTTTTGCACGTTTCGCTTCTGCTGACTTCTTCCACCACCTCCTTTGGCTCCATCCATGCTCCTATTCCCAAGATATGAGAATCTCCTATCCTCAAGCTCCCATGAGGATCGCTAAGCTCCTGAAGAGAAGATACACCCGTATCATGGGTCCCCTTTTAGGAACTTGAAGTCCCGTTCAAGTTAGAACTGAAACTGAGGGAATTCGCGAGCCCCTCCTCCTTTTCTGAACCACCTGGCCTTGCTAGGAATCTGATCTCGACGTCCGATCGGAAATAACTCATTCATCCCGCGTCTCATCGTAGTCACTTCTCGCTCCAAGTTGCAATCCTTAATCGATGGCTTTTCTTGAAGTCTAATGCACAGTGAGGCAAACTTCTTGCTTGCATTCACTAACCTCTTCGCTCGCGTCACCGTTCCCAAGCTTATCTCCCTCGGAAGAGATGCCGAACGAAATATGAACTTTTCACCACCTTTGGTGAATATATACTTCTGAGCCCGCCTCTCGTAGATCGCATATCTATCCCATAAGTACGGATTGCCCAGTATAATCTGACAAACATCCAATGGAACTACGTCGCATGTGACCTCGTCAATATACGACTCATGGAGTGCAAATCTTACAGTGCATTGATCAACTACACTTAGCTTCTCCTCCTTCTGAATCCACCCCAATGGATAGGGCTTCGGATGCTTGACCGTCTTCAGACCCAGCTTCTGAACCAAGGCTTCGGATATCAAATTCTTCTCGCTACCCGGATCAATTATGGCATCAACCAAACTGGTCTTCACTTGCAACTTAAGAACAAAGAGCTGCTCTCTCGGGTCGTCGTCCTCTTTCGTGGCCTGTTTTCCCGTCATAAGATTAAGACTGCTATTAGGCTCTGTCATCCCCGGGACTTCTTTCGGACCTTGAGCTATCATGTATGCCTTTTTCTCCTCCTTCTTCTTCAACCCTCTTGGCTTGAGATGAAGATACTTCTCCCAGCACCGATCAGCTTCGTGCCCTGTCTTTTCGCAGTGACTACAAATCAGTCCTG